GCGACCGAGCCTGCCCCCGTCGGCGCCTCCCCAAAAAGAGGCCCCCCCGCAGCGGCTCCCGAGTGTCGGGATCGCCAGCCTCGGCTTCCTACATGGAAGATCCGCGGGGGCAAAAAGCGAAAGGCGTTCGGCGGGGCTGTTGAAGGCAGGAGAAAAGCTCGACCCCCTTGCTAAGCAACTTAATTTGGGGGTGGGGAGAAACAAGCAATTAAAAAAAAAAAAAAAAAGCAGGCACGGGATTTATTTTTTTCCTCTATATCCTTAGTAACCGGATCTCCTCGAATTCCGTGCACACGAATACTCGGGGGAAGGGGCCGCGTGGACTTCACCCCGCATGAGATGTCTGGCGGAACAAGAAGGCTCTCTCAAAACCTGAGAAGCAAATATGCAAAGCCAAAAATGAAAAACACAGCCTCCTTGCACCCTGGAGGTCTAGGGGCGTCCGGCTGGAACTGGGGTGGAAAAAAATGTTTACAAAGTGGAACAAGATGTTTGAGAGGGTGGAAAACCGTATCCACGAGTTACATCCCCCTTCTTTCCTTGCAGTCCCGCTGGTCTTCCTCTCCTTTTCTTCTGCCAAAAAAAAAAAAAAAATCGTGTATTTTTTAATCCACAGAAAGCTTTGGTTCGGTGGCTCCAATCCTCAGCATCTGGGTATTCGAAGGGAGTCTGGTCTTGGCCTCCTGCGCTCCCGGGGGCCCACAGCGGGACTTCCTCGGGCTGGCGGGGGCGCAGAGCAGAAGATGCTGCCGCCGCGGCGGCTGCGCCTGGCGGGGCTGACAGCGCGGGGGAGGGCGGCGCGGCGGCTGGCCCCCAGTGGGTCGGCGCGCTCTCGCCCTCCTGGGGCGCAAGCTGCTCGCTAGTGCGGGGGCCGACGGCGCCCCCTGCCCTGGCAGCGGCTGCGTGCCGGGGCTCCTCGCATAGGCTGCTCGCCCCGACTCGGCGGCGGCAGGAGGCCCCGGTGCCCTCGCGCCGCCTCCTCCTTCGAGACTCCCCTCGTCGCTCCCCGGAGCCTCCTTGTCCCCGGTCCGCCCTCTCCTGGTGCTCGGGTCCTGCAGCCGCCTCCGGGGGCTCGTCTGGCCGCACTCCGGGACTCCGCGGCCGGGCGCTCTGCGGCTCGGCGCCGGCGGGCTGGCTCCGTGTCGGGCAGCTTTCTCCGGCGCGGCGAGCAGACCGAGCGCGGCGCCCGGCTGACTCGGCTGGCGCGGCTCGGGGACAGGCTCCTCCGTGCGCCGAGCAAGCGAGCGAGTGTGCCGGGGGCTCGCCGCCTCCTGTAAGGCCTCCCACCCCCGCCCCCTTCCTCCTCCTCCTCCCCCCTCCCTCCCCGCCCCCAGCGCCGCCGCCGCCGCCACCGCCTCCTCCCCGCCCCCCCCTCCCGGCCTTGGCTCAGCTGGTTCCACTGCGCAGTGGCGCGCCCGGCTCCGGCCTCGTCACGTGGCCGTCTAGACACCCTGTCGCTTTAAAAAAAAAAAAAAAAGCGATTGTGTTTCGCAAACAACAGATCGGGTTTCTAAAAGCTATTTCTCTCCCCATCCCGCCACTGCCACCCCCCTTTTAGGTTTGCAGAGGGGGGACAAGTGGAGGGAGACGTGGGGCACAGAGAGGCTCCCAGAAACGGCGGCGCGCCGGCCGATCGCAGGAGGAATGGAACCGCCGGGCAGGGCTTAGCAGAGAGTTTGGGAGCCGAGGGGGCCAGTCGGCGGCCCGACCTAGACCCGGTCCCCGAACCTCTCAGTCGCTGTCCCGGCGCTCCATTCATTGGTTCTGTTTAAAGGCCTGGCAGCGGCTCCCTGACGGCGCCGGAGGGAGGGGGAGGAGAGCGCTGTCTCCGTTTGAAAAGACATTTACACCAGACTGGACCAAGGCCCTGGGAGTGTGCGCTAGAGAGAACAGCCGGGCCGCCGAGGGCGGGAGGCCGAGCGAATGTGACCTCAGCCTCGGCCGCGCGCTCCCGCCCGCCGCTCCCGCTCCAGGCTCCGGTCTCTGGGACTGCCCGCAGAAGCGCGTCTTGTGCACAGCTCTGGAATGCATTTGGCGGGCTGACGCGCCGCGAGGGGCAGCAGCCGAGCGAGAAAGGAGGGAGCGGGGGGCTCGCCCGCCTGCCACCGGCGGTTTTCCTTCGGGGCCCGGAAGACTTCCGCCGCCTGCCGCCAACCTCCCGGCGCGGGGAGATTACCCTCGGAGCAATCTGCCTGGGGCATGCATATGCATGCGGGGCCTCCTTCGGCCCCTTCCCCGGCCTTGGAACTTAAGGTGCTTAGAGTCAGAGAGTCATCCCCTGACCCCACATTCGGGAGAAGCGTATACCCAGCTGGCAGGTAACTCCATGGAAATGGGTAAGGAAAGCATTGGTAGGGAAAGGACGAGAGCGCGTCTGTAGCGTGAAAACCGATGGTAGTAAGTAACGTAATGCTTTAAATATATACGCATCCGTAGCCACGGGGCTACTATTTGGCATGGTGATTCTAACCCCACATCTTAATGAAATACGATTTTTAAATCATTTAAAATTGTGAGATCACTACAACAATGAAACTCATAGGGTTTAGGTGTTGTTTTTTTTTTTTTCTTTCCATCTTTAGAAACGCTAACACGTAGTGCTATTTCATCTCTCCAGCACTATGTTGTTGTTGTTGTTTTGTGTCCTAGTGTCGGCCCCTACTCATAGCGACCCCTCCTTGGGTTTCCGAGGCGATATCGCTAGGGAAGTAGATTGCCCAACCTTTCTGAGTAGTGGCTAGTGGATTTGAACCGCCAGCCTTCTGGTTAGTAGTCAAATGCCTTAAGCACTAAGCTACCAGAGCTCCTTCCAGCAGTATAAGTATAGTATAACGTCTTAAAAGGCACAGATGAGTCTTGACCACCTTTACAGCTAAGGACCCCTCCCCTTCAGCAACTTAAAATGTTTTTAACCTGCAGTGGATGCTTAATAAGGAACCAGCACTTAGAGATGGGTAGTGCTTCCAGGACGTTGGGACTACTTTCCTCCCACACCCCTTTGGAGAAACAAAAATGGGAGAAGAAGTGAGCAACACCGGTTGCTCCCTCATCATTACCGAGTTCTGGAAGGCGGCAGGATGCCAAGTGGTGCAGAAGCTGGCGTTTTAAACATTTGCATTGTAAGGCCACATGAGCTGCAATTGTATAAGATCATAGTTTTGTTATAATTAAAACTGTGTGTGTGTCTAAAATTTTCTGAAGAAGCGATCTGCAAAGACAGCAGCCCAGAAAGCCCAGGAGGACATGGAAAAAGGAGGAGGTTTGGTTCTGGGCGATTCCACCATCATAGGCAGATACAACTGGAGGAGACGGGAATGGGGATTTTGAGGTGTCTGGGAAATGTCCAATGTACTCACCTCAGCCAGGCTTAGAGAGAATATCAGACTATAAATCAGAAGACTGCTCCTGCCCCCAGCTCTACCACTCACTGGTAAAGGAGCTGGCACTCTAGTGACCCACAGGTTAAGCAAGCACTTGGCAGGGTCCCCTTCCCTCTCTCAGCGCTGGGCCTCACTAGCAGATCGTCACTTTTCAGGAGAGGCTAGGCCAGGCCACAAAACGGCAGGAAGGGCTTCAATAAACAAAGAAAGCAAATGTCACACATCCTCATTACGTTTCTGGACTAACTAAATGCTCCTAAGAAGCTTTTGGAAATCTGGCCAGTGGTGCTTCATGCTCTCAGCAGTGCGAGGCCAGAGCACACACAGGGCAGGTAGGTTTAGTGGGAGTTCCAGGAGTGGGATCTGACGTCACAGCTTGTCTGGGTGCAACGTGCATATACTTGCAGAGATATGTTCCCATACGGTGTAATTGTGGGTGTTCTAATTCAGGCGTCATTTTTCTCTTGCCCTCTCCACATAGCTACCCTCCTCCATTTTACTATGCTGGGTGAAAGATGGATGAGGTACTGGCAAGTGGCTGCAGTGGCTGGTCCTGGGTTCCTTTATAGCTCCCTGGCACCCCATCAATCCGTGACTATCCCCGATCCTTCCTGTATGCCAGCCTCACCCCATCCCATTCTTGCCCTTTTCCCTTCCAAGAAAGAAGCAGGCACTAGAGGAACCCCTGGCTGGCCACAGTGCCGAGGAAGGACCTCCTTTTCTCCCTTCCACAGACACCAACGTGACCGACAAGCACAGCTTCTCAAGACTATTCTAATCCTTTAACAAAAAAAAAAAAAAAAGTTTAGGAGTTCACCAAACTATTGTGAATGAGTTTGATTCTAATCATTTGCTGGCAAAGAATATGGAATAAAATATCTCATTTGCAGTTGTTTATTTCCTGTTGTGGCTTCTATTTTCATCTTTCAGTCACTTTGGTGATAGTAATCAAACCCTAATCATGGTGCACCACAAGTCACAGAGACCAAAATAACTTGCAGCAGTTATGACAAACAAGGATGGGGTCAGCTAAAAACCTGGCTGGCTACTTAATCACTACCCAGCACCTGGAAGATGTGTGTATGGGGGGCCGGGGTGCTGCTGCTAGTTGACCTACAGGCTGGCTAGGTGGACAGAGGAAACCCTAGGACATTGCTCTGAGCAGTCAGAAACCCCCAGAGAGCATAAGGAAGGAAAGGGGCAAAGGGAAGAGGAAGCAGACGAATGGGTGAAGCCGCAATAACTGCCAAGGGAAGAGGAAGGTGGTCGGAACAGGTCTGACTTAAGAAAGACAAGGGAGGAGAGGACAATCCCCTCAGCTCTTGGCACCTAGCAACAACGCTAAGCCAAAAGTGCTGCCTAGAGAAGACGAGAGCCTTCCGTTCCATTCT